CAGCCCCACTGGTCAAAACAATCGGCATCAAATACCACGACCAGACTTTCAACGGCTCATTCTTGAAAGAGAACATATTCCGTCAGGATGCTAGTCCAACTGTCGACGCAGCATGGGGCTCTTTGGGCGTGAACTGTGCGTGCACTTGTGAGATGAAGACATCCCTAACACTAGATAGACCGCGGAATTCGCATATCCGTCCAAGAAGCTCTCAAATCCGGCCTCTCGAAGGACCACGTCCAGATCAACCCCAGCCACGGTGGTGGATTTCCCGCACATGTCGAAGGTCTGCACCATCTTCACTGACTGGTATGATCTCTGTCCGCTGAAGCTCTATTGTGGGGCATGGGTTGAGTGGGTGGATTGTAGAATCTCCTTCGTCAAGCACTTTACTACAACTACGAGTACTACCGTGCGCGCGGCGACGGCGCTTTCAAAAATGAGGAGTATATTGTGCGTAAGCATGTTTGTGCGTATTTCCCTTTTCTACAAGATAATCCATGTAAAGATAAGTCGTGCTGATTCGGATAGCACACTGCCTCGATATTCTCCGTCAGCAGCTCGTGTGCGCCGTTGACTTCGGTATTTTTGGTCAGATCTGGGTGTATCCAGACGCCCCGGAGCCGTTTGTTAACTTCAACTCGGTGCATATCTGTCGCAATTTTGAAGCCGTGCGAGATTGGGCGGAAAGGAATCAGTTGCCGAAGAGGGCGTCGGAGGAGTTTTTGATACGGCCTGAAAGGAGCAGTGTTTATGATGAGATTCCTTGAGTTGGTGGTGTCTTTCCGTGCTAGGTAGAGCATAAATGCCGTTATATCATATGTGATATCAGTATTGTAATACAAATCCAGGAGTTGGCTTGCAAATCTCAAGCGTAGGGCACCTCGTTCCAGACACCAAAGTATTGATATCCATATCACTTTAGATGATATCTACTGGATACACGATTATTTCACATTGCGGTAGATAGTACACGATAGGCTGACTACTGTTAGATCTCTAACCGTTCATACGTTATAGGTATTTCACTCAAAGCACACAAGTATCACTGACTGTTTCAAGCAGGACACACCTGTCATACAACGAACAAACTATTGGGGGAATAAGATAACAACACATATCACTATTTCATGCTATTGGATAAGAAGTAATAAAACTGTCTGGAAGTGCCGTAGTTGCACCGCTGATGTCTGCACAACTGGTTTTGATTTGGATGTATGTTTGATGAAGGTGTGGATCAAAGTAACACCCGCTATGAGTATGTCCTAGCAGCTATTATCACGCAACGAATATCCTACACCAGGCTTGAACATATATCCATTATCTCAAGTATAGGAAGTGAGCTCGCCTTGTACACATGCTTCAGAGTCTACTGTTTATTTTATACACTATATGAGCGAGTGTTTCATCGTCATCTGTGCAAAATATTCATAATCAAGACAAACTTGATAATTGAATCGCTCGGCATCAAAATCAGACGTGAAATCAGTAGTATCTAATACCGCGGATTCTAGAAGAAGGGATGTAATCCAGCGCAAACCACTCCGATTCCTGGCTGACACTGGTACCGACCGCTAAATGCTTTCGAACCGCACTAGTCGATATAAACATTATGTCGGATTCCTCGCTCTCCCAGACTGGGAGTTGAACGATATTACCGTCGACCTGAATCTCCAGCAAAATGGCGAGGTGTCAATCTTCGCGATGAAGATGCCAGTACTGCACGCGCGAAGGGAAAGGGCGCGGTTTTCTGCTCTAGCTGCAAAGGTAAGAAGAGTTATTCAGGAGGCACAAATAGACTTGGCTGATCCCGCATATAGCTTACCTAGGTTACTGAATACAGAGATAAAAGGAGTCGGTTCAATTGGACAAGCGTCCTTTACAAGATGGGACTCCAGTTTGCTCTTGGTAATCTAATGTGAATATCCCATGTGGTAGTGGCCTTGAGATTCGAAACCGTCCGGGGGGTTGAAAATTGTAAAGGATCTATTGTGCTGGACACGATAAAATTGAGGTGGGATTGAATCCATGACTGCTACGTGTGATGGACCTTCTCCTCTCAACACTTCGATTCGTATGGGAGATGGGAGCTGCTTAAAATATGGAATTGCGGGGTAGGGGAGTGAGACAGTAGTTCAGTGTTAGTGTAGAAACTTGGTTGTTATTTATCATGCAAGACGTTCATTGTTTCTGTCTATATCCAGAATGGGGAACAAGTGCTGGAGTAGCAAAATGTATGAGAGAATAAAGTTGTCCTTGACACATTCACTGTCTTCTATATAAATCACGCAGGCTCTGAATCAACCACTTGATTCTCGAAACCGCAGAGACTATCTTATTATGTATGCTGAGTGTGCATCTATCGCAGTACAACTGATATTAAAACGACTACATTTCAATCCAAAGCCATCACTTCAGTAATTTTCTCAGCTTCTATGAATACTTTGATTCCCATATACCGTCTGCTGTTGGATGTACCGGACAGCGGCCAGCACCATCGTGCGTGGACCTTGGTACCCGCAATCATGTCATTTCCCACTAAACTTCACCATAGACCAAGGCATTGGACCAGTACAGAAAGAGTGGTTATGCAGTGTCGGGGACCCAAATAGGAAAGGAGTCGCGGTGGGGGAGATGGACTTCGATGATGTGATTCTAGAGTTAGGGCTTGGCAGACCCATATTAATATCATCCCCGCCATATAAAACGTCTCATCCCCTCACCTCGTCTACCATCTCTCCCACCACAACTACCACCGCAACAACCATTGTAATACCTAAAGATAGGTCCAGTGTAGAGTACCACCCAAAGGTTAATGTACCCTCTCCGCAACATCATGACACGAACCGGGGCTGATCTCCGTGCTCGCAGCACTCAGCATGCGCTCGTTCTGGCTCACCGCGCTGCTGCCCTCGCTGGCAGCCGCCGACTGGCAGTTTAAGTCGCGTTCGGACCTGGCACCGCCGCGTCTGAACATTACTATTCCAGCCACGTCCGATGTCGAACAGGGTCTGCTGTTCGTGGCCCCTTTCGCTGGCTTCCCGGACAAACCAGGCGAGATGCATGGTCCCCGCCAGGCGGCGCCATATATCTTCCGCGATGACGGCGAGCTCGTCTGGTCCGGCTACAGCTACTACTCTATCTGGGCGACCAATTTCCAGATGGCGCGCTGGAAGGGCAAGGATGTGCTGTTTTGCTTCGAGGGTGACCACAACCCGGGCTATGGTCATGGTCATGGTCACACCACCTTCTTGGACCAGCACTATGAGACGATCCGTGAGCTGCGCGCTGGCAACCACAAGATCACGGACAAGCATGAGTTCCACGTGATCAACGAGGAGACGGCCCTCATCCAGGTCTACCAGCCTGTGCCGATGGATTTGACTCCTTGGGGAGCGAGTCCGGAGCAGCAGTGGATCGTGGATGCCATTATCCAGGGTAAGACTTGCACGATTGTATTGAGTGTTACTGTTGCTAACCGGCACAGAACTGGACATTGAAACGGGAGAGCTTCTCTTCGAATGGTCGAGTCTGGAGCATGTTCTGCCTGATGGTATGTTTGCCTTATCTGTCACACCCAGCACCACTAACACGGACCAGAGGCCATCCTGCCCATCAACCCCGGTCAAGCCGGCTCAGGCTACAATTCCTCCGACGCATGGGACTACTTCCACATCAACTCCGTCGACAAAGACACCGACGGCAACTACCTCGTGTCTGCACGCGACGCCTGCGCCGTGCACAAGATCGACGGGTCCACCGGTGAGATCATCTGGCGCCTAGGCGGAACGAAGTCCGATTTCCAACTCGGCGACAACGTCGCCTTCTGCTTCCAGCACCACGCGCGCTTCGTCTCCAAGGACGGCTCCAAGGAGGTCATCTCGCTGTACGACAACGCCGCGCACGGCACCGAAGACGGCCGCGGGCACGAAGTGCACACGCACCCGTTCTCGCAGGGCAAGATCATCGAGGTCGATACACACTCGTGGTCCGCGCGCATCGTGCAGGCCTTCCAGCCCCCCGACGGCCTGCTCTCCAAGAGCCAGGGCAGCACCCAGCTGCAGCCCGGTGGCAACGTGCTCGTCAACTGGGGGTCTGAGGGCGCCATGACCGAGTTCCGACCGGACGGGACGCCCATTTTCCACGCGTACATGGATTCCGGGGACTTGGGTCTCGGCGTTGAGAACTACCGCGCTTTTCGGTACAACTGGACGGGGCTGCCGCATGAGACGCCTGCACTGGTGTCGCTGATCAACGACGAGGGCACCACGGCTTATGTGTCGTGGAATGGCGATACGGAAACCAAGGTGTGGCGATTCTACGCGGCTGTCGATGAGTACGGGTCGCGCGAGTTTTTGGGTGAAGCGGAGCGCACTGGGTTTGAGACAGCGCTGGATCTGGGCCCTAAGGCCGTGCATGCTGTGTCTGCTGAGGCGATCGGTGCGAACGGTCGTGTTTTAACTACGACTGCAGTTGTTCAGACGAAGCAGGAGGTGCTGCCGCCTGGGGCGGCTAAGACTTCTAAGCCGTCTTTGTCGGTTCAGGTTGAGGGCCTGCGGGAGCAGTTGAAGGCGGAGAAGACCAACTGGGAGGAGTACATGATTCTGAAGTACGACCGATTTGGTCGTCTCGAGCTGTGAGATAGATTCTGTGGTAAAGATCTACTTAGTATCGAGGATCTATTTTAACCATAGGTTTGCGGGCACCAATAATAGGTGAGAAGGATTAGATAGCAAAGCAATGAAGTCGGTTATTGGAGTGTCAATTGTCGATCAAGTACTCTTTCGATGTACAACTATTCAACACGTACTCTGTGCTTATAAATCAGTCAAAGATATGTGTTATATGTTATTATATGTAGTAAAAACCAATACTGTTGGAATGATCAATGTGCAATGATGGTATTCACAGGCATCGTTGGTAGTGGAAGGTCAGAACTTATTATTAAATATATGCAGGCTGTCTGTCAAACACTTTAGGCCTGAACTTGTTAGTCATCTGGGCTCGTGGTTTAGTGGTATAACATTCCATTTGCATTGGAAAGGTCCCGGTTTCGATTACCGGCGAGTCCATTTTTTTCTATTTTTACTTTTATCTCACAACTGGTCAATGTTACTTTGCTTATTCCATGCATTACTCCGGAGTAATCCATCATGATACTATGAACTCTATTTCTGCTGTCACTTTCTATCCATAACTCAACCTAAACCAAATCACTGCTAGTCCTGCAATGTGACCTCCCAACTGTCCAGACTCCAGACCGAAATAAAACCTTACAACGAAATGCCAACCAAATCAATGCGCCAAGATGGCTCAGAGGCCACAACACCCTCCATCCACTAAGGTCTTTGTCTGTTGGCGATTTCGATGGAGAAGACCCACTCCCCCGAGCTTCCAAACTGGGAAGTTCTCTAACGAGTTACAGTCTAGCAGGCCGCAGATTTCGATGCCGCCCACATGGCTGGACCACACCGCTGGACCTGGCCATTCGCTGGAGGCTAGACGTGGCTGCTAGTGTTCTGTCATATATTACATCGTGCTCCTGGAATTCTTTTCCAGAGTTCTCTCTATGGCGTGCATCTATCATGTCCTTGAATGAACATGGCTCTGTGCCTGAGGCACCACAGAAGCATATCAACCAAGAGAAACGAATAACCGACTCACAACAACCGCTGCAGCGACTGGACTCGGAAACTATTGAGTATCTGGGCCGCAAACGCCCCGATGTCTTCTCCAACGCCTGGTCCGAGTGCGCCTTCTGCTTCTCCATATTCATGAGCCAAATCCTAGCCGAATACTACATCTCCGGCTCCAATGTGCTCCTCCCCACCCTCCTCAGCGAGCTGGATATCCCCGCTGCGCTCTCGATCTGGCCCTCCACGGCTTTGTCCCTCGCCGTCACCTCCACGCTCCTCATCTGCGGCCGTCTGGCGGACATATACGGCGGGTTCGTGCTCTACGTCGGCGGAATGGCCTGGCTGACTGTCACCTCCCTCATCGCGGGCTTCTCGCAGAACTACCTCATGCTGTTCGTCTTCCGCGCCCTGCAGGGCCTCGCCCTCGCCGCTTTCCTCCCCTCCAGCATCATGATCCTCGGAAGTACCTACCGCCCGGGACCCCGCAAGAACCTCGTCTTCAGCATATACGGTGCCTGCGCCGCCCTCGGATTCTTCGTCGGCATCTTCTTCTCCGGCCTCTGCGGCCAGTTCCTCTCCTGGAGCTGGTACTTCTTCATCGGCGCTATCTTGTCGGCTATCACCGCTGTCTCGTCGTATCTGTCCATCCCGTCTGACTACACCCTCACCCGTAAGCTGACCAGGGCGTCTATGGACTGGGCTGGCGCTGTGCTCCTCGTGCCTGGCCTCGTGCTGTTTATCTTTGCTATAGCTGACAGCTCCCATGCGCCGGACAAGTGGCGCACCCCTTACGTATATGTCACGCTTGTCGTCGGGGGGTTGCTCTTGCTGGCTCTGACGTATGTTGAGGGCTGGATCGTTTCCAACCCGCTGATTCCTGGGGATTTGTTCTCTGTCAAGTATATGACACCATTGGTGATTGCGCTGTTGTGTATGTATGGAAGTTTGGGGATATATCTTCTCTATGCTTGTTTATAGTATGTTTTTCTTTCATTCTTTCCTTCCTTCTTTTGCCTCTCTCTCTCTCCCATCCTTAACTTATATAATACCATTGTTACTAACGGATAACCCCAGCATGGAACAACTCATGGGCGCAACCCCCCTACAAGTAGTAGCCTGGGCAGCCCCAATGGCAATAGGAGGCCTCATACTCTCCGCAACAGGCGGCTTCATCCTACACCTGCTAAACGGCACAGTCCTGATCATCATCTCCTGCCTAGGCTACCTCGGATCGGGGCTGCTCTTCGCACTCCTCCCCCCAGGAGGCAACTACTGGGCATTCGTCTTCCCCGCCATGATCTGCGGCACGATTGGCATCGACATCAGCTTCAACGTAACCAACATCTTCATCACGACGAATCTGCCGCGCGAGAGACAGGGGCTAGCCGGCGCGCTGATCAACTGCACGCTGCATTTTGGCATCGCGCTGATGCTGGCGTTTGCGGATATCGTGCAGGTGGAGACTGAAACACTTGGGATACGGGGGAGCTATCGTGCGGCATTTTGGTTCCAGGTTGCGTTGTCGGGGCTGGCGTTGGTGATTGTGGGGGCTTTTGTGAGGATCGATCGGGCGAAGAGTGAGTTGACGGTTGATGAGAGGAGGGAGTTGGAGGCTGCTGCTGGTGCTTAATGGGCTTTTGATGAGGTTGTGATGAGGTTGTGATGAGGTTGTGATGAGGTTGTGATGAGATTGTGTATACTAATTAATCTGTACATATAATCGTGCATAAGCTGTACTTGGCAAGGGGTGGTTCCTTCTGCATAACGGTTACTATAAACTTCGTGGGCTAGGAAATATAGTCTGTTTTGTTATTTGATATAGGCTTTGGATTCAGGGCAGAAACGTAAGTCATATAAAATTCACTGGTCTAAAATAATAAACCTAAGAGATAATCATATGAGATGAGATGCATTGACTTGCGGGAAATGAAGAAAAGAAAAGAAAAGAAAAAGAAGCGAGAACACTCATGTCTTGCAGTCAGGTGACACACTACGTCTGTTCCTTCCTACTGCTGAGGACCTTCTCCAACTTCTTACCGACAGCCACGAAACAGTCAACCATCCAAAACACGCTGAGAAGAGTATCAGGCAACACCCATTGTGACCAATTACCACTGCTCAAACAGGACAGTAGACCAGTCTGCCAGGCAAGCGATCGACACAAAATATTCAGCCTAGCTAGGTGCTTCTACAGAACAGAAACCAGCCCAATTGGACGAGGAAAAGCGGTACGCATAAAACACCGATGTCAAATCCTTCGTGGGCAAAACAATGCCGGGGAAATTCATTGTCCGTCTGCGTCTGGATGTGTTGAGAGTGGGGAAAGCATACCCTACCCCCTTGCCTGGGGCCAGTGGGTCGTGGATCCGACATAGCCGTTTGACATGGTGAGAAGATCTGTGTTTGATTATTTTGGCGTCTTCAGTCGATCACTACATCTGTGTGTACATAGAATTGGTTTGAAGAACTGGTAATGGGGGTTTGTTGGCTTGCGTTCTTGGTTTCCCTGGGACATCTGTTGGTGTGCATTCGATTCTGTGGGCTTTTGAACACTACCACTTGGCTCACGTTTGGAATCCATTCATCGAATAACATGACATACAGATATCTGACTTCTGAAACGCACCGTCGGTCCTAAAAGGGCTAGAAAACCAGCCTTGTCTTCTCCATTGGTGGCCATTAATCCCAACACCCCTCTCCCAGCCCCCCTGTGCACCATGACAGCCTAAATCCCAATGACCGAATCTGCTGGGTTTTGACAGGCTTTTAGCGCTTTGCGTCAACCTCCCTGGAAATAACGCGTCGGTCCGGCCCCGTTGGAACGGAAAAATCATTGTCAGGTTCCTCGCCTATGCAAGCGCTTGTCGATCAGTGTGGGGGCGGATCATAACCCATGTCCCCACGACGCCAGAACAATCGACAACTAGGAGCTTCCCATTAGGAAGCAGCTCCGTGTACTGGCTATAGATATCTAGACAAGAACTGACGCTCACTTGCAATGAAATGAAACTTCCAGTGAAGCAATTCGCGAGGAAAGTCCCATCAAGTGTCGACGAAGCGCCGTATTAAGAATGCCACCCCTGAAGCATACCCCAGTCGTCCCCTTGCCGCGTCCCGTGGATAGTTACCAACCACAGCCTCCCCTGATAGCGGTGTGGACTAGTCATGCACGCTACGGCGCAGCTCGAAGAGTCGGAGTCACCGAATACCACGTGCGAGCTGTATAGGATCGTCGGTCAACTATGGCATGGTAGACGGTGATGAACATGGTCCCCCGCCGCTCGCCCGGGGCTGTCTCTACTGCCGATCATACCCAATGCTCAGCCGCAGTCCGCGCGAGCTTGCGGGGCCTGTCCGTGTGGTAGTAGAAGGCACGGTCGTTTGAAGGACAGCTTCCCCTCTATATAATGCAACCATACCCACAGCATCAGTTGTAATTGCAATTCAGAAGACAGACTCCTGCAATCATCAGCATTGATTTAGCTCATTCTTCCGTACTTGCACTCCTTTTTCTGGTGACCAGAGACGCCGCAGCTCATTTGAGCGGCTATCGCCATGCCTCCAAATACGCCAGAAGTGGTTTCTTTTAGCCGCAAGAATTTGACTCTCACTCGCGGGAGGAAGCCACGTTGTGTGGTTCTTACAAGAAACACACTGGAAGTATACGCGTACGAAGAAGAATATGAAGGCAAAAAAGAAAATGGATCGAAAAAGCCAAGTAAGGTGACGTACGAATGGCGCTGCACCCAGCAAGCCCAGGGAACCATCAATGCCATCGACGAGGCCTTGAAACGCACTGACGAAAAAATCCAATCTGAACGCCTGACGAACATCTCCAACAGAGAGTCCGAGCCTGAGTACTTGAGGGACATCGCCAAGCTCTGTTTGTGTGAAGATCATGGAAGTGTGATAGAAGCGGCCGTAACACAATGGGAGGAGGAGCGTCAACACCAATCCCCAAGCACGCCTAGGACACCGCCAGACACATCAAAGCCCCAGCGCTCCAGATCAACTACGCCTACTCCTTCTCCGCTACCTGAGACACCAAAAAAGCAAACAGCTCCGCAAAGTCCGTCCTCAGGCTTTGACACTGCGACTCCTTCGTCCTCCTATGGGAAGGTTCTGTGGGGGAATCTGGGGTTTAATGACACCAAGAGCGGCTGGTTATATGTCTTCAGCATCGAGGCCCTCGAGGGATACTACAAACTTGGATACACGACCGTGGGCATCACAGATGCCAAAGACAGACTCCGATCTCATACCAACTGCTACGGGCCAATAAACGTTGTTGCACTGATTGGAATCGATAATGCTGCGCGCTATGAACAACTGATCTTCAAGAGCCTGTCGCAGTGCCGACGCAGCGTTTGGTGTCCGAGAATCCGGCATCACAAGATGCACAGGGAGTGGCTGCAAATCGACAAGCAGTCGCTATT